TTTCTAGGAAATACAAACATTTACAAAACGCTTACGTTACACTCTTACAAACATTTTTATTCAAACAATGACACTAAAATGCTTATGAAATCACTAGCTTTAAAGCTGATAAACTCTTTCAAAATAACTAGTATTCTCAAGTTATCAGTACACAGGTACCGAGGCTAGCTTTTGAGAAGATGGAGTACATTCAAGACTCATTTTTATTCTGATTCATATATATGGTGTCTTATTAACTATACAGAACATACTTGTATGAAAATTATATTATTAATGCAATGGATGATGTTGTTGCTTGTTTACTATTATTCTTTGTTGTGATACTGTACATGATGTTCTCTACCCCAGAACATTTCCGCCGTTCCAGTTTTAGGGTGTGACAGCTATTATATATCATGTAACACTAATTCCTGAATCATTCTATGTTTAGGATGATGATCATGCATGGTGAATAGACTCGGGGGTGACGAGTCATGTGTTTAAAGATCGCTCTTGGTTCAAGGATTATGAAGTATTTATTGTTGGATCTGTGTTTTACATGGGTGACAATAACAAAGCACCTATTTGGGACATGGTTGTGTTTGTTTATGTTTTATTTCTGGAAAAACTCTCTTCTTAAGATTAGAAAGAACTTAGTTTCTAGTGGTGTAATTGTTAGATGTGGATATAAACAAGTCTATGAATCTGATAAATATATACTAACTAAATGTGGTACATTTTTTGGGTTTGGGTATTATTGTAATGGTATGCTTAGGTTGAATGTAAATAATAAAAAAGTTATAGATTCTATATATATGGTTTGTTCTAGTGTTGATAAATCTTCGTTATAACATGCTCGTTTAGGACATGTACATTATAAAAAAAATGATTGAAATGTCTAAATATAGAGTAATACCATTATTTGGTGTTAGCATAGAAAAATGTAAAACTTGTACATTAACTAAAAGAACCAGACAACCTTATCGTGATGTTAAACGGAATTTTGTTCTGGCTGAATTGATTCATAGTGATCTATGTGATTTGAATTCAACTCCATCCTTAGGAAAAAAAGAAATACATAGTTAATTTTATAGATTATTATTCTTATTTTTTCTATGTGTATTTGTTACATTCCAAGGATGAAGCCCTTGATAAATTTAAATTTTATAAAAATGATGTTGAATTGCAACAAAATTATTTAATGAAAAGACTTTGCACTGTTCATGGTGCAGGGTATTATGATCCTAATTATTTCCAATTTTTTGGTATTATACATCAAATATTTGCTCCATATACTCCTCAACCAAATGGGATTTATGAAAAAAATAGAGTTCCAAAGGAAATACTGAACTCTATGTTATCTTACTCAGGTTTGAGTTATGGTTTCTAGGGAGAAGTTATAGTTACTGCATGTTATCTCTTATATAGAGTTCTAAACCAAAGGAACAAGGTAACTCCCTATGAACTTTGGTACAAAAGGAAACCAAACTTAGGATATCTGAAAGTATACGGTTTTCGGGCTATTGTGAGGCCGACTGAAACAAAATTTAAAGTGTTTTGTGAAAGAGGTACTGATTGTATCTTTATTAGATACGTTGAACATTCCAAGCCTTATAGGTTTTATGTTATAGAACCTAATGCTTCTGTCTCATTTAACATTGTTATAGAATCTAAATATGTAATATTTGATGAAAATCAACTTTCATCCATACTTAGACCAAAGGACTTGTTTTCTAGTTCTAGTGGGACTGCTTGTGAAGTTGTACATGATTAAAATGAATCACCTGAGCTTAGAATAAGTAAGAGACAAAGGAAAGCTAAATCATTTGGTAATGATTTTCAGCTTTACCTGGTTGAGGGTACTAGAGATGAAACTACAAATTAATATTCATATTGTTTTAGCGTTGAAGAGGATCCTAAAACAATTTATGAAGCAATGACATCTCAAGATGTTGCTTTCTTGAAAGCAGCAATAAATTATGAGAAAGATTCCATCATGAGGAATAATACTTGGGTGTGATTTAATCTTCCTGCTAGATACAAACCTTTAGGTTGTAAGTGGATATTCAAAACGAAGATGAAAGTTGATGGATAAATTGACAAGTTTAAGGCTCAATTGGTTATTTAAGGTTTTAGAAAAAAAATTAGCATTGACTATTTTGAAACTTATGCTCCAGTTGCTCGTATATCCACCATCAGACTATTGATTACCTAAGCACCAATTCATAATTTAGTGATTCACCAAATGGATGTGAGAACAACACTCTTAAATGGTGATATAGAGGAAGACGTGTATATGAAACAAACTGAGGGTTTTATTATGCCTGGAAATGAGCATAAGGTTTGAAAGTTGGTTAAATAATTGTATAGGCTAAAGCAAGCACCAAAAAAGTAGCATTAGAAAATTGATCATTTTGTCTTGTCATATGGTTTCAAGTTGAATCAATCAGACAAGTGTGTACATAGCAAGTTTAATGATTCTAAAGAAAGAATGATCATATTCTTGTATGTAGATGATATATTAATACTTGGTAGTGATCAAAATCAAGTGGACATGACTAAAGAGTTTTTATCATCTCAGTTCACCATGAAGGATGTAGCGGAGGCGGAAGTGATTCTTGGAATAAGAATCAAGTGTGAACATCAAGGAATATTAACTTCATAGTCTCATTACATTGAGAAAGTGCTTAAGAAGTTCAGTTTTTCAGATTGTTCTCCTATGAGTACTCCATTTTATCCACGCATGAAACTTATGCCCAATACTGGTAAATCAATTTGATGACTTGAGTTTACAAAGGTCATTTGGTGTTTAATGTATGCTATGACCAACAACAAATATTACATTTGTTGTAGGAAACATAAGTACGTTTACTAGAAATCGTAGTACTAAACACTGGAAAACAGTAAGGAGGGTGCTGAAGTATCTTAAGAAACCATGGAATTTGGTTGAACTATGTAGGGTTTCCTTTAATTATGGGAGGATATGAAGAGACGTCAAAATTGAGTATTGAAACATAATCAGAGTAAGAATAGATTTAGACACAAGATCTAAATAAAATTTGGTTGGCTCGGTTTATTGCTTGTCATAGAATACAAAAGGATAAGAGAAATGCTTACAATATCAGAATTAAAGTCTTAACCTCTAGATGTATCCATCCATTATATATATATATATATATATATATATATATATATATATATATATATATATAGGGATACGGAAACCCCAAAAAGTACAAGGGACTAAATACACTAACCTTCGAAACATAAAATGCCCGTTTAATAATATTACAAACAAACTTTGATATTACAGACAACTAAGAAATATTCGACACCTCACAATAACATTCAAACCTCTACATTCTCCACCTTTGTGAGAGATCTCGAATCTAAGTTGTTAGCACCTCAACCGTTTAATGAATCACCCTTCGTATCTCATCATACCACTTAATGATCTTCTGAATCTTAGCTTTCTCCTCCTCATTTTTCTTGGCACAATTGTTCATACGAACCATGAGATTTGTGTAGTGAGGTGTTGTTTACCTTTTGACATCTCACGCTTGAAATACGAATTTAGAATTATTGCCCTTCGTGTATTTCCTAACAAAAACAATCGCTAATGGTTTCAAGTAACCTTACCATCTTTGAAATCTTTCAAAGTAGCCTTACCTAAAAGCATAGTGTGTGGAACAATGACTACTTTATCCAATGACATTGCCAACTCAACATCTGTTAAGGCTAATGCTCCATAGTAACCATCGATAAACACCTTTAGATGTGCAAAAGCATTCAAAAAAACTATTCCTTGCTTGTCACCTGCAATTTATCTAAATTAACAATCTTCATTATCAACACCACAACTAACTAATCGTGAAGATTCGTTCGTGGAAGGTCTACAACCGAGAAGTGAAATGTGACATTGTTTGCTCGGACTGCGTGATATCGATAATTCGGGAGCATTCCTTCAAAGAGAACATCATTAGTTATGCCCAGAACCCGAACTATCTTGACCAGTGACCTTATCTCCTCTTCGTTCTTCCCAAGTACAACATGAAAATGAAACTTCATATGCTTGTAGTCAATTTTACCCTTGTACTTATCAGTAAGCTCGAACTGCTCATCCTAGAACGTCATTTTGTTCAATGCAAAACCTAACTGATTCATGTTGATTTCACAGTATTGAAGTTTTTCTTGGGAATCTTCTGAAACTCATGCATTTATCCAGAAACAAAAGGCTTCACTAGATTCATAATTATAATGCTTTGTAGGATCACTTTTGTTGAGACCATGTGGATCATTGACTCTCAGTTGAAGTGTACTATGAACTTGTCTTTTCTTCTCGATCTCTTATTCCATTCCATCTTTCTTTTCTTCCTTTGAAAGTTCAACAGTTACTTCTTTCCCTTTCCCTTTATCTGCTTCCGTAGACTTGGGTTTCGAAGATGAACTTGTACCACCAACTACGACTCCCTTCTTCAAATGCATTATTGTTGTAGTTGGAGGTTATTGGATCGGTTTTCCTTGGCATTGACACAGGAATTTAAGTAGTTAAAACCTTTCCCACTACCTTTGCATATTCACATGTTTTGCCAGAACCTCCTTCACATTTACTAATACCAAAATACCTTTTTTCTCCCCCTTACACCCTTGTAACAACAGGTGGGTCCCCCATTGGCATTAATGGAAGAAGTTTCAGAAGCAGAGCTAGTTATTTATGAATTATTGACTCAAGCAAGGTAAGATTTTTAGTGAGGAACTCAGTAGTAAATTTGCAAATGTCGAAGATCCAGGTATTGATAAGAGATCCTTTAATTCACCAAGTAACTTTGCCATATCACCAAATCTAGTAGCATTGACTTCAACCTTGTTTTCAAACATGGGAACGAAGGAATTATACTATTCAATAGCCTTTGTGACCGCATTATCTATTATATTTTCCTTCCTATGAAGATTAGGATAATTGTGATTTAGAATATAGATTTATTTCACCATGTCTTCTCTTATCTCTTGAAGTTTCAGATTTACATTCTATGAATGGCCTTGAAATCTTGGACATACAAAACATGTTGTTCCTTTGCAGCATCCTTCAAAGCTCGAATGGCTCCATTAAAGTTCTCATATTCAACTTTAACCCTTAATTCATTATTCTTGTCAATTCGATCAAGTGACTCCTGAAGATGATGTTCGTAAGATTTCAACATGACATCCACATCAATACCTATAACTGAATGTTCACCACCACCATCAGCTTGTAATTAGATACATGAGTTAAGTTTCTGATTAAGAATCTTAAATTGTTTGCCATACATCAATCTGTGATCTGGAATATCCTCCTCGGTAGGATCAAACTCTATATCAACAAAAGAACCCACAAACCCACCATCATCTGCTTGATCATCATTAACAATTTTGGGACCTTCTGTGGATTGGGATGGGAATAAAGAAGCAATGGATTGTTGCATGATATTATCAAAAGTGGGTGAATGAGTTGACGGAGGTGATTTGGTTAAAGTAGGAAGTATAAATGGAGGTAACGAAACTATGGTTTCAACAAGTGGTGTTTCGAAGGTAGATGAGACAACAAGAGACTGATTGTCTTGGGCAGCTGTATACGATATTCCTTCACCCATAAGGACATTTTCGTCTATATGAGATATGTTCATAGTGATGCCTGAACTGCAAACCTCCTTATGAAATAATTTGGCATTTGACACTTCGGGTGGTGTGACTCTAGTCTTATCAGGAGTAGACTTCTTTAGTTATTCACCTGCATTAATGGGTGTGTCTACTTTAGAAGTTTCCACAGAACCATCAGGATTTCTAGTCACCTCGAGATTCGACTTGAGTGCAGAATCCATCACAGGTGAAGAATGGCCCATTTGATCTACGTGAATTGGAGACTCAGGAACTAACTCATCATCCATGGAGTCATCTTTAATCAGTAATTTCCTTTTCTTCTACTTTTGTTTCTTGGAAATACGTTTAGCCATGTCTTATGCCCTTTAGTTCTTCGAAGCTAGAGAAACAGATGCTTGGACTTCACGAAACAAAACCCCCTTTTGAATTACTTGAGGATTGACTTTAAAAATGGGTGAAAAACTTATGGATCTCTCAGGGGATTGGCGACGTTTATTAGCCATCTTTTTCAATTTCTTTAGCACACCAAATTTTGAAGGAATTACTTTCGTTTCAGGCTTCGAAACTAGTTTAGAAGCAACAATCAAAGGTGACTCAGTATGCACCTTCTTTTTCTTAGCAGCCTTAGCAACCTTCTCAACTTGCTCAGATTGTGTTTTTCATGTACTTCCCTTTGTAACTTTCTTAGATCCTTTCTTCTTCTTCGAGGGACTAGTGGTTGTAGTGAAAAATACACCAATTTCAATATCAGGATTGATTGTCTTCAAATAACTCTCCAAAACAGGGTGAGACGGATCAACTTTGCGAAGCATGGCGTCTGGACTTCTGGCGACATATGGAAAAACTTTCGCATCGTCTGTAACAACTTTTGGATGATGAAACATAGAGAATGCAGCAGTTTCTTCATTATCTTGAACCAAAATACCTTCTTTCTCATACGTATATTGTATAATGAGGCTCTAGTAACGAGCACACTAGATCACATCAACTGCATTCGTGGTCCCTACGCTTTTCACAAACTCTTTCCAGAGTTGAGCCGTATAATCCACCGGCAAATCATAGTATAATCCTATGACCATTGCATAAACTTCCAAACGGCCTTTATGCAACCTAATTGTTCTTCTAGTTAAGCAATGAAGATAGATCCCAATGAAAAAAAGTCCACATACAAGGTAGTCCAGATTTATTGAACTCATTGATTTTTATGAGAGTAGGATGATAACCCGTCTAATTGAACATATGAGTTATTTGTTCATTCGTTACGTTGTAGAAGGGTTCACCATTAGGAAGACTAAGAATCTGAGAAAAAATCTTCTTTGATAATCGAAACTTTTTGTCATTAACCAGTTGAAAGTTGACTGTGTTCATCCTCTTGCTATATGTATCCATAGAATGAGCATGAGACAACCATGAAACTGGTACAAAGAAAAACCTAAACACCACCTTGGATACCACAGAATGCTGAAGAGCAACAATGAGCATCTTTAGTTTTTCAGGATAAACAGATACATCGGCTTGAACTTGAAAATTTGTACTCTGGATCTTCATTAATGGCTACAATGTAATGTCTTCAGTGATTTGTGATGGATCAACCGAAATATTTGTGGCAGCCATGGTTAGGGTTTGAAGAATCAGTGAAGAATGCAGAGAGTTCTTTTAATTTGGGGATTTTTAGTATGCGTAAAATTGGAATGAACCCCAAAACCCCTTTTTATATGTAACTAGAAATTGAATTTGAAGCGGTTTTTGGCATTAAATGAGGCTGATGTGGCTCCTTGAAAATCATACCAATCGCCGGAAAAGTAGCCACATGTGAAAATGCGATGTACACTTTTTCCTTGAAAACCGGACAAGAACTCAAAACATCACATCAGTCAATCGTTTATCTTGCCCCCATTAAATGAGAACCGTCACTAACCTTTGGCATGGAGGTTGGGTTCATTCACTTTTGGGTTTAAAAGAGAAGTCATGTGCCTGGCTTTCGAAATCATCAGCCTGAGTTGGTATTACTTAGAACCTCAAGGATTTCATGAGTGTAAAGTGTACCAAAGACAAAGATAAGGAAAAAGATAAGAAAATTTTGGATACTATGATTTCAAAAATATTTCGACATAAATAGTAAGATCCCGGGAAAAGATCGCTTCGTTATTCATCAGGACAGATGACTAACAACTTGTGTTATTTCCTGTGAATTACATTCGAATACTTATACAAAAGTATCAAAGGGCCTCTTATATCAGGATGTGTTGGTAGCTAAGAATTTAGTTACAAAGCACATCTAAACATAAGAGTAACAAATTGTAACAAAATTACATGTATGACCAATGTAGTCAGTGACAAATAAGCTTTGGAAATTTTATCAAGTGACAAAGATTGAGAATGATACTCACACTTAAATCCTATTCCTCAAAACAAAATTATACCTGGATCTTGTTGGGTAACAAAAGTTGCAGGTTTCAAACATTTGATCAAGATCACACAAGATGAAAGAATAGGATTTGCAGTATCAAAAGTACGTATTGCAACAAGTGTTTCATTAAAATCTAGAACAAAGTTCCCCGTCAATTCCTCAAATGATTTGATATTTTGGGTTTCACTTTCATCACAGTCTCATTAATCCATTTCATAAACACAGATGTTTGATATGTCTAGATCCTGATTGTTTTATGGCAGAGATCTCTTGGACATATGTCATTACGTATGAATGTGAAAGAATCTTAGGATGAAAAAGATTGATATAAGATTCAAAAGTACTTCTGCTATGATTGGACCAAGTAGGAAACTCTTAACACATATGAGAAGATTATGGTAGCTCAGAGACTAATGTGAATACAACCTAATTTTGTAGAAATCCTTGTAATACGAAAACCATTAAGGATTTCGAAAACACATTGATTCATGGAGGCTTGGGTCGACATGATGCATCATGCTTCTAGGGACATCCTAACTAGGATAAAGTTTCAAAAATATACCTTTCCCTCAAGCAGCAAGCATGACCCAATCAAAAAATTTTGCTAGAATCTGCACAAGACAATATTAACAAAACAAAAATATTTTTGGATTTTTGATTTTTGATAGAAAATAACAAAAATAAGAAAACTTTTTGATAGTTTTGATTTTTGAAAAAGAAAAAAAAAATGAAATTATTTTTGGTATTTTTGATTTTTGAAAAAAAAAATACAAATACGAAAATCATTGTACCTGACTAGCGAAAATTTGAAAATAGCTAAAGTAACGAAGATGTTGGCAAACTAGTGTCCATGATGTCGAAAGTGAAGCCTGTCGAAGCGTTGACTATGAACAATAACCGCTGAATCGACAACTTTTTAGCATTTTGCCTTGTCAATCTAATAAAGAATATAGAGGAACACAATTTCCATCCATCATTCCTAATCCTTTAAGAATTCTCATGAAATATTTTTCATCTAATGGTTTTATAAAGATATCAGCAAGCTAATCATTTGTCTTTACAAAATGAACTTCTATGTTCCCATCTTCAACGTGATCTTTGAAAAAATGATATCGAAGAGCAATGTTCTTGTTTTTCGAATGCTGCAAAGGGTTATGCTAGATGCGAATGGCACTTTGTGAGTCACAATACAAAATAATTTTCTTCATGTTGATTTCATAATCGCGTAGTTGACTTTGTATTCAGATGATTTGAAAAGTGCAAGCTGTAGCAACAACATATTCTACTTCTATTGTGGAAATTGAAACACATGTTTGTTTCTTCGATTTCCAGCTGACAAGCTTCCTATTCAATAATTGACGTTCGCCACTTGTGCTTTTGCAATCAAGATTACAACCTCCCAAATAAGCAGCTAAGAATGCTTGTATTAAAAAGCCTATCTTCGAAGGATACCACAATCCAAACGAAGTTGTTCCTTTGAGATAACAAAATATATTCTTGACTGAAGTTAAACGAGGTTCTCTGGGATTCAATTGATACTTAGCACAATTACTTCCAGAAAACATGATATCAGTCCTACTTGCTATGAGATAAAGTAACAAACCTATCATGCTTTGATACAATGCGAGATCAATAGCTGGTTTATCTAACGAAGGATTAGGCCTTGTTCCAACTACCATTGGTACTCTTAACTTTGTGGTATTGGTCATTCCGAACTTTTCAAGTTGATTTCTTGTATACTTATCTTTATTCATAAGTATTCCTTCTCTGCTTTGAAGAATATATAATCCCAGAAAATTGTTCATTTTCCTCATGTAACGACCCGTTCCCGGTATGTTGATTTATTGGTAATTATAGTGAGTTTTCAAGAGGGACTCGGCGAGTTCTAGCCTGACTCGCCGAGTAGGGTCGCGTCTGAGGGCACGCGTGAGCCGGGGACTCGACGAGTCCATATCCCCGACTCGGCGAGTCCATCTGTCTGGTTGAAACCCTAAAATCCCCGGGTTGCCCACTATTTATACCACCTTATAGCCCCCATTCTTGCCTCCCTCACCCTGAGAACCCAGTGATAGAGCCCCAAACCTCCATTGAAGAGCTTATATGTGTTTTGGTGCCATTTTGTGAAGGTGTGAAGAAGGGAAGAAGGAAGAAGCAAGGAGAAGTGTTGTAGTGCAAAGATCCAAGGCCAAATCAGAGTTTATTGAGGTATTTTCGGAGTTCCATCTTATTATATGCTTTAAACTTCCATTAGGGCTCTCCTAAGAGCTAGTTGGTGCTTGTTTCAAGCCTTACACTTGCATGAACATCTTATTAAGTCGATATATCTATGGATCTGAATGTTGGGGTGTTGTAGAGCCCAGATCTACTGTCTTTTTGGAGTTATATTGCATGATAACCATAGATCTACCCATTTTATGCATCTTTTAGCCTTATTTCCCTTATTCATGAGGTTGTGCACGTAAAGTTGGAAACTTTACGTGGTAAAACAGCTTATTGGACTCAGATCTATCAATTGTATGCATTGGATTCAAACAAAATCAAGTAAAAATCAGTTGCATGGCGGCGACTCGGCGAGTCGGAAGAACGACTCGATGAGTCGGGTCGCGAGTCCCGAGTCCTTCAGTTTTATCAGTGTCGAGTGGACGAGGTGAGTCAGGAAGTGGACTCAGCGAGTTGAGAGTAGACTCAGTGATGGAGGGACTCGACGAGTTTGTTCATACAACTCGGCGAGTCCAAGGCAATCTTCTTGGGATCAAGAACAACTCGTCGAGTCTGTTCATACGACTCGGCGAGTCGGATGAAGATTGTCTGAGTTCTTGGATCAAGAGGGTACTCGTCGAGTCGATGCCAGACTCGACGAGCAGCAGAGAGTAAGAG